TCGCTCCTCACTTCTTCCCATGGCACCTGTGAGGGGAGAGAAGAACATCAGCACTGCTCCAGGAATGTGGTCTCTCCTGGGGAAGGTCTCTGGTGGTCCCACCCCATACAGATCAACAGATATATCTGCCCTCAACAGATCTTTCCATGGCAGAACTCCATCAGTGTCAGCGTGGTTGAGAGAAGCAGCAGATCGAACGCTCTTAGAGCACGGTCATAACTCCATTTCTTGTACCTCTGCACCATCTGTTTGTATCCCAGTGCTGCCGTCAGCAAAGCTGGCCCAAACCTTGAAGTCACAGGACAAATACTTTGGTTTTGATTTCTGGCCAGAATCAAACATCGGTACTCTAAAAGCATGGAGTTTGAGAGATAGCTTCCTGCTGTGGTTTCCCTGGCCAGACGCTTAGTCACAAACACCACTCAAGTGTTGCTGGTCATGCCTACCCCCTGGAAAGGTGTGGGGAGATGGCTGGGTGAGGCGGAACCCGAATGTCAGCAGAACACACTGCAGTTTTCCCACTGACCAGGGGGCCAGAGAGAACCAGAGTCCTGATCACATCCAGCTGCCCTGAGATACATCACAGCAGTTCAGTACGAAAAGAAGGAAACAATCCCATTCTAAAAAAGCCCGATCCTCCTTCCTATTGCCCCACCCATACATAGCCCCAAAATCTGCACTTCGGTCATGCCTTTGCAATAGATCTCACTGCTAACAGGACTTTAAGTGAGCCTTTGTCTGGTTGACTTCATTTGACCGTCAGACGAGGCCTCCACAGGAAAACACGGTTCATTCTTGAACAAAGGAACATGAACAGACGAGGGGAGATACAAAGCTGCTTTGTTTAACGGGGTTTCACAGGGAGGGTTAGGAGCACTCCGCCCACCGTGTCCATGACTCTGGACACACACAGAAATTCGCCTCCAAATTCTACTTTGGATCCTGAGCCAAGAAAACTGAGTTTTTAGATGACATTTCATTTTACGGTTCCTCTTCCTTGGCTATTAGGGGAGGACCACGTACATATTTAAAGACTGATCTCCACAGAATCACAGAATGTTAGAGATTGGAAGGGACCTCGAAAGATCATCTAGTCCAATCCCCCTGCCGGAGCAGGAACACTTAGATCAGATCCCACAGGAACGCATCCAGGCGGGCTTTGAATGTCTCCAGCACCTTTATATCTGACTACGGCCTACAGACAAGACAATCAGCTGCAAATAGGAAGTTGTACCTACGCTGGCACCTTTCCCTCCTCCTAAAGGGCCCCAAAAGGGCTTGAATCCCTTAGAGACCTTCACAACAGCCAGTGCTTGCTGAGCACGAACCTGTGGGTACCTCCTGCCGTTGTGTCCTACAGCAGCAGCTGCACATAGAGAATCACAGAATCCTTCAATGGCCTGGGTTGAAAAGGACCTCAAAGATCATCAAGTTTCAACCCCCCTGCTGTGGGCAGGGTTGCCAGCCTCTAGCCCAGGTTGCTCAAAGCCTCATCCAGCCTGGCCTTGAACCCCTCCAGGGATGGGGCATCCACAGCTTCTCTGGGCAACCTGGGCCACTGCCTCACCACCCTCTGCGGGAAAAATTTCCACCTAATATCCAACCTAAATCTCCCCTCTCTGAGTTTAAAACCATTCCCCCTTGTCCTGTCACTATCACCCCCTGTAACAGTTGCTCCCCCTCCTGTTCATAGGCTCCCTTCAAGCACTGGAAGGCCACAATGAGGTCTCCCTGGAGCCTTCTCTTCTCCAAGCTAAACAAGCCCAGTTCCCTCAACCTTTCTTCACAGGAGAGGTGCTCCAGCCTCTGATCATCTTGGTGGCCACCCCTTTTTTTAATGCAGCCCAGGACATTAGAGGGGGCTGTTCTGTGTCACACCAAGAGCAAGCCACACAAACAGCAACATCTACACACAGCAGGTTTTATAAAAGTCCTTGTGCTACATGCCTAAATCAGCAGAGGTGTGACTGAAGTGACCTGGAGATGTGGGATGGGCTACCACCATCCCCGGAGGTGTTCAAGAAACGTGTCGATGTGGTGCTTAGGGACATGGTTTAGTGAGTTAGGTGGTATTGGGTTGGACTTGATGATCCTTGAGGTCTTTTCCAACCTTAATGATTCTATGATAATGATTCTATGATCTCGCAGCACCAGGAAGAGAGATGACAGCGTGTTGTCCCTGTGACTGTGCCCACCCTGCTACAACGCCGCGTGGTCCAGGCCAGCCCCGAGGAGCCCTGTTCCTAGCAAAACCCTGCTGATGGCAGCCACAGAGGAGTGCAAAGAGACGCTGTGGGGGCACACAGTGCAGTGCAACACCAAACAGACCAGCCTTCCCCTGCCCAGGACGCAGGAACGTGCTGCTGCTAGGGTTATTTTTCAGGTCTGTGTTTCTGATCCCTTACTCTTTCTCACTCTACTTTCAGGTAAAATAGAGAAACCTTGTCCATCCATGTCCACCTCACTTCTCTTTGCTGTCTCTCTGCTGCTCTTCACCACCTCCTGAGGGTCCCGCAAACAGCCAGAGGCACACGCTGGCCTGTGGTGCCCTGAGGGTGCTGGAACAGCCTGTCCAGCAACACGCACACGCTGCAGACTGCGTCCTTGGCAGGGATGCTGGACATCACATCACAAATCACAAACAGCACCAGCTTGCAGGAGAGTATTTATGAACAGGGTCCCGAACAACAGAAAAACTCTGTCAGCCTGCTCAGCCTGTGGATTTCTATCTAACTCAGCCCTGTCACCTGCAAGCTAACTGCCCTCCAGGCGATGATTACAGACTGGCACTTACGATTGCACTTCTCTACTCCTGCATTACCACAGAGATTTACTGTTCATCTCACGCTCACCTTGCAACTGAGGTCTGAAATTTTAGGAAAGGTTGGACTGTATGATCTTTCAAGATCCCTTCCAATCTAGGCTTTTCTATGATTCCAGGACATGACTGTGATTCCTCATACCACCCCACTGAACCTGATACATTTGAAAAGGCTTTTCAATGCCCTGGCACAGTCCAGGGACAGGTCTTCATGATCCTGGTTCATAAGCAGCAGCACCTTAAGACGGCTAAGTTTTGGGATGCTGAACCTCCTACGTAAGGAGCATTCCTCCCTCCCTCCTTTCCATTTGTCAGGACCTTGTGGGATACTGGAGAAGAAAGCATAGAATCCAGTTTTCCTATGGTACTGCTGTGCCCTGCGTGCTGCCCCTCCAGAGAAAGGGGGGGAAAAAGAACAACTCGATATTTGTTGGTATTTTCCAGCCAGTTTTCACGGACCATGGTAAGAGCAGCCAGAGGGACAGAGACTCACTGAAACTCCAGCAGCGGCAGTTGCAGCCCAGGGCTCCAGCCCGTACCTTATCCAGTTTGTCAACACTGGAGCAGATCGTTCGGAACTTGCTGTCTGGGACACCGCAAACTGCAAACATTCCATCAAGGATGCGCCGATCGTTGACCTAGGGTAGAGGGAGCAAGTCATTAACTATGAACTCAAACAGATGCTTCAGCTGTGTCCAGTTTCTCTCCTCTCTAGTTTTAACCATGGAAGAGAAACTAGCAGATGTCTGCCAAGATTTTTTTCTCTTTGCAATTTCTGTCTCTTCCCCATTGCTCGGGAGCTAAGCTGCCTCTCTGCCCACAGCAAGCCAGCTAGCATGACTGACTCCTACCAAGCCTGAGTGAGAGCTATCACATTCTCCTCCTAGAGCCACAGACACCTCCGCTCGACAAAGAAAAACCACTGGGGCCTGTGAGTCCTCTCATGTGGACACGTGAAAACAGCTCAGCAACAGAACATAGACTAAGGAGACAAACTCAGTGTGCTACCCTGCTCTCAGTGTTTGTTCTTACAAAGGGACATCAGATTACATTAAAAACTCATTAAGGATTTTTTTTATATATATAGTATAGTGAATTCCATATTAAATAATATTTTGTAAGAGTAGGTAATTGAGGACAAAGGTTCAGCTGGATTCGACATTTCCATGGGCAAGGAGAAGATCTACAATTAAATTAGACAGAAACAAAGACTGTTCAGGAGTTGGTAATCCTCCAGCACTGACACGAACAGGCCAGTGGCTCATGGAAGACGAGAATAACCGGAGGCAGGTTATTCTCCCCATTGCAGAAGAGTCTTCTCATCCTCTAGGCTTTCAACACTGCCCAAATGCACAGCAGCTGGACAGGCAGTTCCTGTGCACAGCTCTTCAGCTCGTCCCAGACATGTTCAAGGGCAGGTAACTGCCCCCCTACCTAGCAGGGGCTGCACGTAGGAGCACAGCACCCAGCCCGCACCGCTCGCCTCCCCTGAAGAGCCCAGCAACAGCACAGCCCTGGGTCCCTCTCGGAGATCCCACCACCCTCCCGCACAGCAGGCACTCCTACCCATCGCTCTCCTACTGCTGTACACCCTTCCCCATCCCAGCCAACCTGCACACCCAGCACCGTTTGCTGCCACACCAAGCTCAATGTACAGTGGGGCATGGTTCGTCTGGAAGAGGCCTCAGCCGCAGCCAGAGCCTGGTGGGAAGGCAGCAGTCTGCAGAGAACACAGTGCACACACTGAGCAGGTGTCCCTACGAAGGGGACATCGGGAGCTGGGACAAGAGCAGGGTCCGGGGCCAGAGCCTGTGTTTTACGGTGGATGGTGAATATGACGGTCACCTGGTTAGGTGGCTGCTGGACGTTTTGCAGAGGACTCTGGTTAGTCTAAAGAGAAGAGCTCTGCCCACTGCAGCCTCAGGAAACCTCCTCGCATTCCCAGCTAAAGGCAAGGCTGAGGTGAGGTCCAGTCTTTTAGCACATACACCACGAGGAGGCAGAAAGGTGGGATGAACTTCTGGATCAAGCCTCAGGGGGCATTAGAGCAGGAACAAGTGCTGCTGCGTAAAACCACAGAACAATGACTGCTGCTTCCCACCCTAGCACAGAGAAATCCGCCTTGTCCCACCTTAACAAGAAAGTCCCCGAGCTGCAGGTCACTCAGGATCTCATGCACAATCTTCAGGCACTCGGCATCAGGAATCATGGGGTCAAACTGGCCGGCGATGTCAAAATCCTGGGGCACAGGAAAAGGCAGTGAGCAATTCAGCACTGCTGGCACAGCTGCAGCAATACAGCTTCAACCCTGCTGCTAACAGCAGTTTGTTTACAAAAAGCAACAGAAACGGGATGTAAGGGAGGACCAGCCCTCGCCGTTAGGATCCAGGAGGGACAGGACGTGGGTTAGGACTCTCATCGAGGGCAGCAGTGCTTCCGCGTCCACTGCATTGCAAAGAGTTTGCATACTGTGTCACGGCCAGTGAGGGTTGCGAGAAGCCGTCCTGCTTCTCCCTGCCTTTTGCTTTGGGAGGTGACCTGCTCCCTGCCTCTGACACAGCAGTTTACTGCATGATACACTTTGAAACAGAGATCCTTGAAAAACAACAAAAAGGGGACAGCAAAGCGATCATCAGCTGTAAATAAACAGAACAAAGGAACCAGGAAGGGGAGGAGAAAACTACTTATAATTTGGTATGACCTAAATGCCAAATGTTTTGCCTGGATTCTTAGGATGTTCTTTTTTAATACACATGCCCATCAAGTTAATGATCAGGGAAGAAGACAAGAGAAGCAATGTCAACTGCGGTAAACCCAAAGTTTCAACTGCCAGGACAGAAAAAGAAATCAGAAATTATCTTCACCAGAGATTACCAGGTGAATTAGCATGTGGAACTTAAGCCCAACAGCAAGATGTTTTCATCGGCTGGTACCCCATGATTGGAAAATAGCAAAGCCAACATCAATGTTCAGAGCGAAATACAACACGGAAACTACAGGAGACTTCTTATTTGACTCCCATTTACAGAGCCCCAAATGCAAAGTCTACAACAAGACTGAGTACCAGAATAACTTTAATTAAGTGGGTGAATTTCAATATGGCTTCATCAAGCTTACAGAATAAATTGGAGCAATGGAGGAGGAAAAAGATGAGATCACATCAGTTAATCTCCAATCAGCTCAGCTCAAGAAAAGCTGATGCAATCCCCGTGGAAGTTGGGCAAGATCTGCTACAATCAGGAAAGTGCCGCTACCATGGTATGTGGCACAGGTGACATCTCGCTCAAAAAAACCAACCAAGGGCTGGTGAATTATATTTAAGAAAAGATGCAGAAAAAAAAAGACTAGGCTGAGGAAAGAAGCAAAGCCTCTCCAGGTAGAGAAGGTAACAGAGCTTTATTTACATGGCCTAAGGAGGGGAAGATTTCTCTAAACATTTCCCAAATGTTTGTCTGGGAAAGGGGAAGAATCCATTTCAAGGGATGACAGCTACCGTTTAAAGAGCTGCACCAGCACAAGGAGAAGTAAACTATCAGACACAAGTAAGTTTAACCTGGACATTAGAAGACCATTTCTAGCTGTCCTAGGAGTGAATCTTGGAACAGTCCTTCAGATGAGTCAGGAGGCAAAGACCCCACATTGTCTGGAAACAGAAATTCACCAAGCTGGAGCTGGAAGGTATCCACAGGGGTTGTATGATGAAACAGGAATATTCTCAACCAGAAGTTAGTTTGCAATATGAGGCCCTGGGGACTGTTAGTACCTCAGAACAAAGCCATTCCTCAGGGCTACCACACTTGTCTGAGAAAGCCACAAAGGAAACTGCTTTCTTACCTGTTCTGTAATTTGGCTTCTGGGGTTTTTTTTCCCCTTCCTTTGAAATAAAGATTGACTAAACACGGGACAGAAGTAGCACATGCTACGGCTGAGTAGTTTGCCTGGTTCGTGCATCCCACGAATGCACCCAGGAGTTCAACTGTTGCCAGATTTGGGATCAGAAGGAAGTTCTTCCCCTCTATCAGGCTGACAAGCACTGTGGGAGGGAGCAAGGAGCTGCCCTCCTCCACAGTGCGAATCCCGTCAGATACTTGGGGCACCTGGGGCCACACTACAAAGATCCCTGATACACCAGCACCCTGTGTCACACCGTCGTCTTCACTCTCCTGCTCTCAAGATGTTTTTCACACCCATAAGGGCACGCTAAGGAGAAGATTTGTGGGTCCTTTTGAGCGTTCCACGCGACAGGGAAGCCCATGGCGAGGTAACACAGCCTTTGATCCTACGTTTTTATGGTGCTACGTCCCCACAAGCACTGCCCAGCCCACAGCCTCACTCAGCACTGTCCCTGTCCCCGGCCACACTCACACACTGGTAGAACTCCCTGTAGCGGCCCCTGGTCATGGCTGGGTTGTCCCGCCTGTAGACCTTAGCGATGTGGTAGCGCTTGATGTTGGTGATCTTGTTCATGGCCAGGTAGCGAGCGAAGGGCACCTGAGATGGCAGGGTTAAGGATGGGAACGGGGAGGGATCACTCCACCCAGTTATCGGTCCCATACAATACAGATCTTCCTTACCTCCACATACAAGCATCACTTCGCCGAACAGAAGCAATGTACAGTAAATAACTGAGCAAAGGTTCTCTGCACCCACTGAACCATGCTGCCTGCTCACGCTCTCCCTGTTGGTACAGGGTCAGAGCCAAGACGCCGTCCTCCCTCCTCCTCTCTTGCCCTCTGGACAGCAAAGGTGACCAGACTGCTCAGCACCGGCTGGGGCAGGATACTGTCAGGTCGTAACGCAGGGACAGCAGCTCTCCTCCTTGATCTTTCAGATCGTAGATGAGCTTCGAGTCTTCACCGTATTTCCCTGTCAGTGTCTCCTACAACAAAAGGACATAGGAACAAACAGTGACAGGAGATCAGCCCTAGAGCACACACAAAACAAGGAGAGAAAGGGAGGACACCTAGGAGATGGAAGAAGAAAACTCAGCCCTCAACACATCGCACGCTCTCGATTGCAGGATCCTCACCAGCTCAGCCAGTCTGCCATGTCCTCACTCACCTTCAGCTCAAACACGGGAGTATCAATGACTTCTGCTCCGTGGCGCTTGAAGCAGGCGATGATCGCATTGAAGACTCTCTCGCGAATGGCCATTTGCTTGGGGCTGTAGTCCCGCGTGCCCTGGGGCGAGATAAGGAAGAGAGCAAAGGACACACTGGGTTAGAGGTACGCAGGGGGGACAGATGCGAGAGGCAAGGTGAAGAAGCTATCCTACTGTAACAAAGCCAGAGAGATCAGGTCCAGACGCCAGATATCGGGAGAGGTGGTAAAAAGCAGCACCGAAGAATAATGGAAAACATCAGCACACAGGTCAGACATGCCGTGGTCTGTAGAGGTAAATCTGATCCAGGAGTTTCACTATGCAGGAAATGAAGGAGCTACTACAGATCCAACACTCGGAGAGTTCAGAACTTCCCAGCATGGCAGCGCAGCTCGGATCCATTCACAGCTCCAGTTCAAACATATTAGACACACCCTTGCACAAGGAGCCACCCTCAGGGGACAGGCACACTTTGAAGCTGTGGAACAAGCAGCAACCCTACAATTTCCAAATGCATATGTAGAGAAATCATCTTTTCCAAGTGCGATCCCTGTGAAGTGCCCACCTATTGTTCATGATAATATGCTCCCTTTTCATTTCTTTGCTGTTAAGAGTCACTGAATTATTTCCATTACCAGCTTTAGTTGCTGTTGCTCTCAGCAACACATAAATCACTGTTAATTGACCAGACCTCCCACTTTTATTTCCTAGGGACTGGCAGGGGGGCAGGAGGAAGCAGTGAGAGCAGGCACGTAACACCCCACCTGCAGGTCACACAGCAGCTTGCAGCAGTACACTGACGTGGCCAAGACACACTGGAAACCCAAGCTGTGTTTCCCTGGCACGCACAGAGCTGCAAAATCCTGTCTCCACATGTTCAAATACCCTTCCACCTTCCAGGTCTCACACCACAATTACATTTACCAAAATATATGCTAAAGGAAATGGACAAGGGAGGAAGTTTTGAGACATTTCTTAAGTCAGCAGTATTAACATAACCTGTTTTATTTATGAGCAACATTCATAATTGTCTCCATGCCACAGCATGGAAGTGCAGTTGGGTCTCTGGTCAGCTGCTAGTGATGAAACATTCAGGCTTCAAAAAATGTCAGCATAAATTGCATTATAGACACTATCTTCAGGGGCCTGGAGAGTGAAAAGCTACCCCAGAAGGAACGGTCCTTCAGCAAGAGGACACAGAAATGTCAGCACCTGGCCAGACCTGCTCAGTAAACAGGATTACCCAGCCCAAAGACTAAGGCAAGAGCAAAAACCACGAGATCTTTCCTGCTCCCATTTCAACATGTGCTGAACACTGCTGGCAAACACTGACGGGTTCCTGGGTTTCTTTGGCTCGCACCAGCAGAGCTGCACTTTGCAGCGCTCTGTGCTCACCCAACCTACTGGCAGCTTCACCTGTCCACGTTAACAGGGAACGGGACTTGCTTGAGGATCCTTGATTCACGAGAGCCAACGTCTGCAGCTATTAGTGGGGTCAGTACCACAAGAGTTGTAGAGTCCGAGCCCTAAACACATCGGGACAATGGCAGTCATGACCTTACATCAAATAGTGCAATCCAGGCAGATAGGAGACCTCTCACGCTGGGCAGCAACAATAAAGCTCGACCAAAAGGGAATTTAGTTTCCTGACAGCATCGGAGAGTGGTTGGCTAGCCACAAAAGCATGAGAAGGCCTTTAAGTTAGCGGGATATCTGTGCTGGATGCTGTCAGGGATGCTTTCACCCCTCTCTCCCCTACTGCTAAACACAAAAAGGGAAACAGAAATCAGAACAGACAGGCGAGTCTCTGCTGAGACCAAGACGCAGGTGTGCGGGGGGTGCTGTGCGTGCATACAGAGATGTGCGAGTGTGTGTCCTGGGGGAAGTTACCTTCGGGGTCTTGAGCACAAACTTGTGTTTCCCTTCATCTCCCCCCAGCTGGGCCTTCATCTCCAGCAGTTTCGCCACCTCTTTTGCAATCTGGGGAGGGAACAAGGAGGGAGCTGGGGCTAAGCCCACCTGCCAGGCCCAGCCCACAGCCCTTCCCCAAAACCTCCAGCCACAGCATTCCCAGTGTGCCCAGACTTCCTAACCTCTATATATCTGCTATCCCAGTCTCCCACAGCAACCAGAGGGGCAATTCCTGCTCCTCTCCAGTACTCCCCACTCCT